TGCCCATGGCCACAGTCTGTCTGTAGTGTGAAATTCCATTGCTGTGGAAAAATAGCAATCTGTATTTATATAGTGTCTTTGACAAACAGTACATCACAAAATGTTTTATGGGCAATGCAGAATTGGTGATGAAGGATATGTCAGAGCCAGTTTGCACACTGCAAGTTCCTACAAAGAGCAATGTGATAATGGCCAGGCCATATGTTTGTGTGAGGCCAGGGAAGCGATGGCCTGTTGGTATTATCACTGGACTGTTAATCCGGAGACCCAGGGAACGTTCTGGGCACCTGGGTTGAATCCTGCCATGGCAGCTGGTGGAATTTGAATTCACTTGAAAAAAATCTGGAATTAAGAGTCTAATGATGACCACAAGTTGATTGTTGGGGGAAAAAACCCCATCTGGTTCACTACAGGAGATGGGATGCCATGTTGATGTTGTACAGGACGTTGGTGAGGCCTCTTCTAGAGTACTGTGCGCAGTTCTGGTCGCCCTGAGAAGGATATTGTTAAATTGAAGAGGATTTAACTTGGAGAAAACATTTGCCAGGATGTTGCTGGGAATGGAGTGTTTGAGACATAAAAAGAGTTGGAAAGACTGGGACTTCTTTCACTGGAACGCAGGAGATTGAGGGGTGACCTTATTGAGGTTTATAAAATCATGAGGAGCATGGATAAGGTGAATGACAAGGGTCTTTTCCCTAGCGGGGGGGGCGAGTTCAAAACTATTTTTAGGACATTTTTAAGGTGGGAGGAGAAAGATTTAAAAAGGACATGACTTTTTTTACACAGGGAGTAGTTTGTGTGGAATGAACTGCCAGAAGAAGTGTGGATGCAGGTCCAGTTACAATGTTTAAAAAATATTTGGATAAGTTCATGAATACAAAAGGTTTGGAGGGATACGGGCCAAAGACAGGCAGTTTGGGAATATGATCGGCATGGACTGGTTGAACTGAAAGATCTGTTTCCGTGCTGTGTGACTCTATAATGTGAACTGGAAGAAAGTGGCCGTCCTTACCTCACATTGCCTACGCGTGACTCCAGACCCACCGCAATGATGTTGACTCTTTAACTGGCCTGTGGGCAATTAGGGCAATAATGCTGGCCTAGCCGGTGACATCCTCGTCCTGTTAATTAATTTTTTGAAAAAAGATGTTGATTTGAGGATAAATAATGGCCTAAATACTGGGGATAGCTCCATTTTTTTGTCCTGAAAGTAGTGTGGAGCGGATCTTCAACTGAGAGCACTTTGGTTTAGAAAGACTGCAGCCTCAGTAGTGCCCCCTCCCTTATGACTGTGCTGTACTGCACATACTGGAAATCTGAAACAAACACAGAGAACACTGGAGAAACTCAGCAGCTCTGGCAGCATCAGTGGAGAGAGAAAACAAAGTTAATGTTTTGAGTCTGGTATGAACTGAAGAACTGAAGAAAAGTCATACCAGACTTGAAACATTAACTGCTCCTCTCTCCACACATGCTGCCAGACCCACTGAGTTTCTCTCGCATTCTGTGTGTTTGTTTCAGATTTCCAGTATCTGCAGTATTTTGCTTTCATGATGGGAAGGGTCTGTTCAGAGATCAAAGAAGGAATGTCCCAGTCTGGAGGATCAGGTCAGACTGGATGAAGAGCAGATGACAGAGTTTTGAGGAGGAGGAAAGGGCATTGTCATTCTCTACTGATTTATCCTGGTCGTCTCATGGTCTCCTCCAGTGTGCCATGGGGACTTCTTGCTGCAACTTGCTGGAGTGAACGGCTCAGAGTTTTACAGCTCTTCTTCCACTTTAAAGTGTAGTAGTGTTTGTTCAGGGGCCGTTGGAAAATTGTTATTATCCGTAAGAGTTCCCCATCCAGACTGGGAATCAGAGAGATGTGCATGACTAACATTTGTATTATTTGCTAATGGAATGAACATTAAGTTCCCAAAAGGTGACCTCTAATTTCAGTTCCTTTAAAGGAATTTCATGCTTGTGGCTTTTCATTTAAGCTTTGGCCCCCTTGTAAAGTTGCATTTTTGCCTGGCACAGCCTTTTGTCCTGTGGGCGATCTTAGGGCAAAGCTCATATGGCAAAGCACACAAAGGAAATTTTCCCTGATTTTTTCTTTTTTTTCCCTACCGCGAAAGCCATGAATTGTGTTCTTGATGCTCAAGCTCAGAGCTTCCCAAATAGTATTACAAGAGCTGGAAGCATGGAAATGATTTGTCAGTGGTGAGTACACAGCTGTCAGTTTTCTAAGCCAAAAACTCAGCATAAAATGGATCATGATGAAAAACAAAAGTTGCTCAGTCACCGGGCCCAAAACATTAACTCTGATTTTTTCTTCACTCGTGCTGCCAGACCTGCTGAGCTTATCCAGCAACTTCTGATTTTGTTCCTGATTTACAGCATCCGCAGGTCTTTCAGTTTTTTGTAAAATAGGTCATCTCCATTTCTGATGAAATGTTATATCAAGGCCCTACCTGCCCCCTCAGGTCTTTGCAAAAGATTGTCATGAAGAAGAAGTTTCTCCTCAATGTCTTGGACAATAGTCAATCTCCTTCTCCACCTCCTTAGGCATCCCCTTAGAATCAAGGGTGGTCTGTTTCCACTCCAGGGGGTTGGGTTATCAAATGGCTGATAAATCCAGTGTGGGATCTTCAGACTCTGCCACATATGGGGGCAACTGATGCTTGATGAATCAAGGAGATGGGCTATCTTGGAGATTTGTGGGCTCCCTTCCTCACCCTCCCCAGCATCATCTCTGCACCTTCCACAAGACATCTCTCAATGTGCTCAACCCTTGCCTGAATGAACCGATTCCACATTGATCCATCACCAGCTGGGACTTCCCATGGGCAGAATGACCTCTTCAGAAGCGTTCTGAGGAGGTGACCAAAGCATTCTCTATCCTTTATTAGCAGTCTCATATTCCAAAAAAAAAACAATTTTGGGAATCTGGGGTATCATTCCAGCAGCATGTCGTGCCCAGCAGAGCTGGTTTTGAGTGACTTTTAATTCTCATTTGTCCATGCAATGTAGATGTTACAGGCCTTTATTGGCCATCCAATTTCAGAGGGTAGTTAAGAGTCAACCACATTACTGTGGGTTTCAAGTCACATGTCGACCAGACCAGGTAAAGATGGCAGGTTTCCTCCCCTAAATGACATAGATGAATCAGAAGGATTGTCTAAGACAATTGATATGTGGTAACCATTAGACCAGTTTTTATTGAATTTGAGTTCATGCTGGGATTTGAACTCATGTTTCCAAAGCTTTAACGTGGGATTCTGGATTACTAACTGGTGTCTTTGCCACTACACCATCACCTCAATTCTAGGCAGTTTTGCTGGGAGAGGACACTGCTGTTTCACTATCTAACCTCTCAATCAGCTTCACAAGACTATCTTGGTCATTGTCACACTGCGTCTTTCTTTTTCAGTCTTTTGCCAGCTGCTTGGATAAAAAGAGGGCTATAGGCTAAAAATTACAAAAATGCAAAGACAGAAAATAGATTTATATTTTTCTTGAACAAAAACAGAAGTTGCTGGAAAAGCTCAGCATGCCTGGCATCAACTGTGAAGAAAAAATCGGAGTTAATGTTTTGGGTCCAGTGACCCTTCCTCAGAACTGGTCCTGAGGAAGGGTCACCAGACCCGAAACGTTAACTCTGACTTTTCTTCACAGATGCTGCCAGACCTGCTGAGCTTTTCCAGCAACTTCTGTTTTTATTCCTGATTTACAGCGTCTGCAGTTCTTTCGGTTTTTAATTTATATTTTTCTTATTCATTCATGGAATGTGGGCATGGCTGGTTGAGCCAGCATTTATTACACATCCCAGCTGCCCTTGGAAAGTTGGTCCTGAGCTGCCTTCTTGAGCCACTGCAGTTCATTTAGTGTAGGTACACACACAGTGCTGTTAGGGAGGGGGTTCCAGAATTTTGACCCAGTGACATTGAAGGAACAGCAATATAGTCCCCATGTATTTGATGCTGTTGTCTTTCTAGATGGAAGTGGTTGTGGGTTTGGAAGGTGCTGTCTAAGGATCCTTGGTGAATTTCTGCAGTGCATCTTGTAGATGGTACACACTGCTGCTACTGAGCATCAGTGGTGGAGGGAGTAGATGCGGTGCCAATCAAGGAGGCTGTTTTATCCTGGACCATCGAATCCCGACAGTGTGGAAGCAGGCCATTCAGCTCATTGAGTCCACACCGATCCTCTGAAGAGCATCCCACCCAGACCCACCCCCTTTTCCTATCCCTGCATATCCCATGGTTATTCCCACCTAGCCAGTGCACCTCTGGACATGATAGCATGGCCACTCCACCTAACCTGCACCTCTTTTTGGACTGTGGGAGGAAACCAGAGCACACCCACGCAGACACATACAAACAGTGGGCTGAGGGTGGTCCTTGGCTCTGTGAGGCGGCAGTGCTGCCCATCTGAGCCACCGTGCTGTCCAGGATGGTGTTGAGTTTTTGAGTTTTGTTAGAACTGCACCTTCAGTGATCTCACAAAGTCCCAAAACACCTTACTGCCAGTGAAGTAATCGGGATGTATTGTAAGAAAGGCAGCATTCACTGCGTGATTTACAAAGGTGTAAAGATGAAAAAAAACTGGCTCTGTGTGATGTTGATTGAGGGATCCACCAAGTGATTCTGAGGAAATGGGATACATACTGGAAAAGGTCAAAGATTGCAGGGCTATGGGAAAAGAACAGAAGTGAAAATAATTGTGTTGGTCTTTCAAAGCATTGGCACAGGCCTTCTAATCCATAAAGTCAGGCAATGAAGGATGGAACTGGAGCCAATCTTTCCATAGTTGTTTAAGCATTCATTTATGAACATATATATTCAACAAATGCACCCCAACAGCTATAGTCTGTCTGTTCCTATTTACAGGAGTATAATTGAATCCCCAGTTAATACACACCAGATGTATATATAATTAACTTGGGCACTCTGTCCCATTTGGCATGCTGTGTTGTACAATTTATGACTAATTTCAAGGTCTATTTATTGCAGGCGACGACAACAGTGCTTGTAAATATTTTGGATGAGAATGACAATCACCCTGCATTTCGACAACCGCAATATGAAATCACCTTAGATGAAGGGCCATTCACCGAGCATTCTTTCAACCTGACAGTGAGTGCGACAGATCGAGATGAAGGCCCAAATGGGACGGTTACCTACGCCATTGTAGATGGCAATATTCATGACACGTTCACCATACACAGTATCACAGTGAGTGTTTGCAATTAAGAGGAGTTATTGTGTTAGCGTGGGGGTGGGACAGCTGGAAGGGTATTCATCATTGCTCGCCTTGACCATTGACAAGATTAATGTAGTTGGAAAGAAATCCTCAGTTTGGCATTTTAGCCAATTTATAAACCATTCATTCAGAAAGGAAAACTTACATTTCTGTTACACTTTGTCAAAAATGTGGCATAAAATGTGGTGACTGTATTTGGTAAGGTAACGATCACAACCTGACTTTACAAAGCAAGATTCCATTAGCACATAAGTAATGTTAAGTATTTCTGATTGTTTGTTTTGGGGAGGAATGTTTAGTAGAAGTGTTCAGAGAAACTTCCTGGGCTGAATCTTTTTTTTTGGCTGTGTGTAAGTTGCATTGCATTTTTGAAGGGATTCGTATCACAAGGCCAGTGAGTTTTCTCCTCTAACTCAGTTACCAAAGTCACCACATTAACTACCTAGTCCACCCCTACTGTCTTACTCATATTCGACTCTAACTCCATTTTACTATACACTACTCCCAGAACTGCTGACCAGTGCTGGGATATTCCGGAATTGCCCAGCATCTCTTGCACTCGTGCCATCTTTCCTAGCCTGTTGGGTACCCAGTCAAACACTGTCGGTCCACAACTGCCCCGCATAGTCCCTAACATTTGGACATGGCAGGCAGGGGTAAATGACACTCCACTTTTGGGCCAAAGACCTAGAGGCCCTTCTGGATGGGGTGGCACTGATACAGAACATCATATTCCTGTAGGACCAACAGTGGAGACCATGACACCAGACCATGCCAGCCTAGTCTGAGGTCACCACTGAGTCAGTGCAGTCTCAGCCATCGGGAGGAATCCCAGAGCTGTAGGTAGAAGGTCAATGACCTTCTCTACTGCGTCATCATTAGTGCTGCCTCCCAACTTGGCAGCCTCTCGGCCTGGCATGGCAGTCTCTCGGCCTGGCATGGCCTCAGCTTGGATTTCCAGTTTTGAGGTGATTCCAGAGCGACCTCTCAGCATCATGAACCTCAAGGCGAGGGCTAGCGCCAACTGGAGCCAAGACCCAGTGTGGACTGGAGGCTAGGTGCCAGCGTGGTGTGGGTTGGAAGACCATTGTTCAGAACTTTTATTTCTGTAACACTGGACATTTTATTTCTCCATTTTCTAAATTCTTGTATCGGAAGAAGCTGTACCTAAGATGGTGCTGTAGGTGGAGACTTATAAACTTTTCACTGTACATGTGACAATAAAGCTAATTCTAATTCTTTCTGATACCTCACATTGACTCCACTCTGTACACACCTCACACCAAGGCTCAGGCTCTACCCTTCTCACTGTCACCTGCAATATCTTCCCCACCCACTCCAGTTCCTGACACTACTAACCCTGCATGCCTTCTGCGCTGCCCACTCACTCACTTGGACAGTTCCTCATCTGCACCAACAATAGCAGTTGTGCCACGCACTTTCATCTCCTGCAATACTTGTCTCTGTCTCATTCCAGGAGGCAAACAGCCCACAATAGGGCCGAAAGAGCCAAGAGGAATGGTAGGCTGCCTTACATGCAGCTCCTTACCCTCCATCTGGAGCAAACCCTGACTCTGACTGCCCCAAATGGCTGAATGACCATACCCAAGCCTTGAACTGGCATCATAAGCTGCGCTTGACTTACAGTGCCAGGACTGTCTGAATGATGGCTATCTCCCATGTTTTGATTATGCAAAATGACAAGGCAATACAGAAGTACCGTAAACCTGGTATCTCTGGGTGAGGGGGTTAAATGCAAAAAGGCAAGGCAAGCCCTTGTGAAGTAAGGGTGCTGAGAGCATCCAGGTAGGCTTGGTGTGCAGCAAGCAGAGAGCCCGGAGATACAGCCTGGTGCAGTCCACGAGCTGGGGGTATGTTTCTGAGCACACAGTGTCCTTGCTGCAGCGTTACAGTAAGAGTTCCCGGGGCAGCCCAAGGGGCAGCGTTAATGGGCAGAGTGTCCTGTAATTGGATCAGAGATGTGCCAGGAGGGTTCATAGAGGCTGGCACACATCAGATGCCACTGATGGCGGAGCATGTGCCTGGTGCTCATGCACTATGCCCTGAGCTAATGGTGCCTAGTGTCCAGCATAAAGATCCTTTGGAGCAAGCTGTGAGCTGGTCATCATGTTCCAACTCTTCACATGCAGGCTCCTCAGGCCAGGGGCCTGGAGCATGTCTACTCCGTTCACATTACATTCTTCTTTTCACTCTCTCTATGGTTATTTTTAATGTTTCTATTTATTATGGTGCCTTACCTTCTTTTAATGACTTCAGCAGAAGGCGTCTTCTCCCAGCTCAGGCCAAACAATGAGGTGGGTTCCAGCGGCCTGGAATTGAGGTATAGGCCTAGCTGGGTGGTCTCCCAGTGTAGCAGTCTTGTGCAGGAGGGGCAGTCTTGGCCTCGTGTGGTGGTCCCGTCCCTGCGTGGAGGTCTAGTCCCAGTGCGGAGGTCTTGTCTTGGCATAGAGGTCACATTCAGTCATGGAATAGCAATTTATCATCATGTGTATTCTTACAAAAGACAACGGGTGAAAAGTTTTATAAGTCACCATACCGCTGCACCTAAATTATTGACAGAAGTCAAAAAAAAAAGAAGAAAAGACAAGTAAAAGTTAATCACAGATTAATTAATGGCTCTGGGTTCGGGTTACGCTGGAAAACCGGGCTTAAACTGCTATGCCGGATTGAGAGGAAAAGAGGAAGCTGACACTGCCTGTGACAGGAATCAGATGGGATGCCTCGGAAAAGAGTAGGGGCCTGAGTGTGTTAGCTCCTGACCCCATCCACTTCTTACAGAAATAATCAGTTCAGGGGCTGTGCCCACTCCCCTTAGATTTACACAAGACTAGGATCACAGCTAGCATTTAGAGAGCTTATTTAACGTGACCAAACACAAACTGCAATCTCAACGAGAGATACAACCCAAATATTGCACAGTAAAGAGACATCAGGGCAGGTAACCAAGTACTTGGTCAGAGAAGAAGATTTTAAGGAGGACAGAGAGGTAGAGGGGCACGTATGGCAGGGTGTGAGTGAATGACAATTTAAAATTATACCTTTCAGGCCGTATTTAAAGGATAATATTGTCACATGGAAATTATAGGCATCGTTGTATACATTGGCAGCATTTATAGAGTCATAGAGTCCAACAGCATGGAAACAGACCCTTCAATCCAACTCATCCATGTCAACCAAGTTTCCAAAACTCAGCTAGCCCCATTTGCCTGCATTTGGCCCATATCCCTCTAAACCTTTTCTATTCAGGTACCTGTCCAAATGTCTTTTAAATGTTGAAACTTTACCTGCACCTACCACTTCCTCTGGCAGTTCATTCTACTTACGAACCACTTACGAACCATTTGCCCTTGATATCAAGACTGCAATTAACAAAATGTGGCATCAAGGAGCCTTGGCGAATCTGGAATCAGTGGGAATTCGAGGGAAGACTTCCGCTTGCTGGAGTCACAGCCAGCACAAATGAAGCTGGTTATAACTGTTCGAGGTCAGTCATCTCAAAACATCTCTGTTCCATGCATCCTACCCCCATGGCAATTTGGCAGACCAAAACCCTTCCAAACTGAAATTTACACAAATTATCTTTTACTTTCAAAACAATCCCTTTGATAGTGTGATTTGCATATAAAACTTTAGGTTGTGAATCATATAAACATGACATCTGGGTGGCACATGGAGTGCACATGCACTTTGTGAACTCTACCCTAAGAAGTGTTAATGAGCAAGTGTGGACGCCCATTGTCTTCTTACATTAAAAAGACTCAAACGACATTTTTTTTACAGTTCCTCAGATGTCCAAGGGCCAGTATAGACATTGAGTAAATATTAATTCCTTGTTCTAGGGTCAGATCGAAGCAGTGAAGGAACTGGACTATGAGCTATGCCATGGCCGCTACACTCTCACCATTACAGCCACTGACCGCTGTCTGAATCCACTGTGCCGTCTGACATCTACAGCCACTGTAAGTATTTAATGCTTTGGCTCAAGAACCGACTATCCATTAAACTCTGAATGTGAAACATCAACAAGGCAGTGATGTTCAAACTATCCACGCAAGTTATTTTGAAGAGTAATAGAAAGACTTGAATTTATATAGAGCTGACATAGTAAAGGGATACCGTTTATCATAGAATCCCGACAGTGTGGAAGCAGGCCATTCAGCCCACCATGTCCACGCCAACAGCCTGAAGAGCATACCCACCCCATTCCCTATAACCCACATTTCCCGTGGCTAACCCATCTAGCCTACACATCCCTGGACACTACGGCCAATTTAGCTTGGCCAATCCACCTCACCTGCACACCTTTGGACTGTGGGAGGAAACCGGAGCACCCGGAGGAAACCCACGCAGACACGGGGAAAATGTACAAACTCCACACGGACAGTTGCCCGAGGGTCGAATCAAACCCGGGTCCCTGGTGCTGGGAGGCAGCAGCGCTAACCACAGGGACACTTTTCACTCAGCTGTGGAGTTTATGAGCAACGCTGAATATCAATTCAAGAAGCTAATTCCTGAAACACAACATTCAGTCATGAGACAGACATATTCTGCAGTGACCTTGAGTTCATAACAATCATAGGATGTGCCTGAATGACAGTCTTCATGACTTTATTTTCTCCTTTCCAGTTATGCTGCTCCAACTCCCTTTCAGCTGTTCGTTAAATCCATTGACAGATGTAACCAGAGATTGAGAGGTGTATCTGATAATCCTGGGGCTTGTCACATTTAATTGTTGGGATGAATAGAAAGGTTCAAAAACTGGGTGCAGGGACAGCGACTTTCAGATCCTGAAGTTGAAGCATGTGTGGAGTCCACAGCAAAGTTGATACCCCACCACACAAGGAGGGTCTTAGATTCTGTCTCTCCATGGAACCTTGTGGATCATTAGCTCCTTGAATTAATGGTCAACAATGTCCAGGCTTGATCACTAACCGAACAGCAGAGTAATAATGTCCCTATACAGTACCCCTGTAATATGTCCGCTCTATACAAATTCAAGAGTTTCAATTTAAATCTACCCTTCACTTAATTTGCACATGTCTTAATCTGGGATCTGAGACCTGATTGTTTAGTCTCACACCACTGTCCCACCCCCGATAACTAATTAAACCTTAACCAATAAGCTGCCTCTATTCTCCTCCAGCCAATGTCCTGTCGCTTGGATGGCACTGTAGCTCAGTGGTTAGCACTGCTGCCTCACAGCACCAGGGACCTGGGCTCGACCCCACCCTCAGGCAACTGTCTGAATGGAGTTCTGCATGGGCTTCCTCCGGGTGTTCCTGTTTCCTCCCACAGTCCAAAGATGTGCAGGTTAGGTTGGCTGGCCATGAGAAATTGCCCATAGTGTCCAGGGATGTGCAAGTTAGGTGGATTAGCCATGGGAAATGCAGGGTTACAGGGTTAGGTCTGGGTGGGATGCTCTTCAGAGGGTTGGTGTAGAATTGATGGACTGAATGGCCTGCTTCCACACAGTGGGGATCCTATGGCCATGGAGATATGTTTTTAAATTTTTTGCTGAATATCGGTGTTGCTCAATGATTCAGAGTTTCTCCAATCTTTCGAGTCTTTATTGGAATTGGTTACACCCCTAAGACTGGTAAGAAATAGAAGGGACACTTGGATCATGGACTACAGTCGGAAGAAACAAAATGTTTGATTCCACCTCTGCAGCTGGAGTACAATTTAATCAGAGCTCAATGTCCATGACAGACTTGTATACTGGGTTTGTCCTTCGAGCATAAATGCTTAAATTGTTAGAATGTAAACGATAAATCTGTCTTTTTCATTCTCCTATTGTAGGTACTAGTCAACGTGAATGATATCAATGATGTGGTGCCAAAGTTTCTTCACACTTATGAGGGTCCATTTGACATCACTGAGGGTCAACCAGGCCCCAGAGTATGGACGTTCCTTGCGGATGACCAAGATTCCGGCCCAAATGGGCAAGTAGAATATAGCATCATAGCAGGAGATCCCCTTAGTAAGTCTGAGCAATGTCAGTTATATAATCTGTAAAGAGTTACAGAGCTGTGCAGCACGGAAACAGACCCTTCGGCCCAACTCGTCCATGCCAACCAGATATCCTAAATTAATCTAGTCCCATTTGCCAGCATTGGGCCCATATCCCTCTAAACCCTTCCTATTCGTATACCCATCCAGATGCCTTTTAAATGTTGTAATTGTACCAGCCTCCACCACTTCCTCTGGCAGCTCATTCCATACATGCACCACCCTCTGTGTGAAAAAGTTACCCCTCAGGCCCCTTTTAAATCTTTCCCCTCTCACCGTAAACCTGTAGTTTTGGACTCCCCTACCTGCGACAAAGACCTTGGCTATTCACCCTATTCATGATCATCATCATTTTATAAACCTCTATAAGGTAACCCCTCAGCCTCCCACCTCCAGGGAAAATAGTTCCAGCCTATTCAGGCTCTCCCTATAACTCAAACCCTCCAGCTGGAATAGCAGGGAGACCAGAATTGAACGCAGTATTCCAAAAGTGGCCTAACAAATGTCCTGTACAGCTGCATCATGACCTTCCAACTCCTATACTCAATGCACTGACCAATAAAGGCAAATGTACCAAACAATTTCTTCACTATCTTACCTACCTGTTACTCCACCTTCAAGGAACTATGCACCTGCACCCCAAGGTCTCTTTATTCTGCAACACTCCCAGGACCTTACAATTAAGTGTATATGTCTTGCCCTGATTTGCCTTATCAAAATGCAACACTTCACATTTATCCAGATTAAACTTTATCTGCCTCTCCTCAGCCTATTGGTCCATCTGGTCAAGGTCCCATTGTACTCTGAGATAATCCTCTTCACAGTCCACTACACCACAAAGTTTGGCATCATCTGCAAGCTTAAGAATCATTCCTCCTATATTCACATCCCAAATTATTTATATAAATGACAAAAAGCAGTGGACCCAGCACCGATCCTTGAGGCACACCGAAAGCATGGGGCTTTCAGTAACTGACCGACTTTATGTGATATCCAATTATATGGGTGCATTCTAAAGCATTTAGTTTGTGAATTGGTTTGAGGAAGAGCTGGGGTTAACAGCTGGCATTTCTATAAGGGGAAACTAGTACATAGAGTCAGATGAAGTAACTGAACATTAAAACAGAGGGAAAAGAATTCTGTAAGATCACACAAGCAGCTGTGATTCTAGGATTTTGAAAATATGCAAACTCTTTACTGTTTAAATTAAAATAGATCATGAGTCAGTAACTGCTACTAGTGTGGAGTAACATGTAGGAAAACGACTTGCTCCTTCAGTGAACCAGCATGGACACAATGGAGCGAATGGCCTTGTTCTGTGCTATAATCATTCGTTGATACAATGATTTATAATTTTCATAGCCAAAGGATGTCTCAGAGCAATTAACAGCAGTGAGGCACTTTTGAAGTGTGGTCAATATTTTCAGTTGGAAATTTGGCAGTCAGCTTGTACTCGGCAAGCTCCTGCTAAGGGCGGTGTTGATTGAGGGACAAATTTTGGCCAGGGCACCAAGGAGATATCCTCTGCCCTTCCTCAAAATGGAACCGCTTACATCCATCCATGTGAGAAGGCAGGTGGGAGCTGAGTTCAACATCTTGTCAGAGAGAGAGTGAGAGACAGAACCTCCAGTTGCACAGCACTGAGCTGAGAGTACCAGCCGAGATTTCAGTGCTCCAGTGGGAACTGAACCGGTAGCTTACTGACTCTGAGGTGTAGATAGTGCTTGCTGAACCATGAGCTAACAAAATGCAAGTAGGATCCATTTATATGTTCATTCATAACGTTTGCAAATATCTTAGTCCTCCAGAGCTGCTGAAGTTAGCAGAAAAACACAGGCCCATTAAATACAGGAGATGCTGTCCCTAATGAACAAAGTCATGCTTAAAGTAATAATCAAAAAATCCACATGTGGCAATTCAGAAAAGCACATGCGTTAAGAAGAATTCAGATCAACACGTTAATTGGAAAAACATTCATGGTCCTACAAAGGACATTTGTGTCCTAATTTTTATCGTTTAGTTTCCACACACAGCACAATTGCAAGAGGGTCAAAATCCTGGAAATCACTCCTTTAATGGCATTGTAGATCTACCTGCACCGTATGGACTGCAGCGGTTCAAGAAGGCAGCTCACCACCACCTTCTCCAGGGCAACTGGAGATGGGCAATAAAATGCTGGCCCAGACAGTAACACCTACATGCTGTGAGTGAATAAAACTAAATCAAGGATGAGAGGGTTGGCAAACAACATGGTACACAAAAATTATATTCTTTTACAACATGATAGAAAACAAGAGGAAAAAAGAATGCAAACATTAGCAAAGGAGAAGAATATGTTCTGATGAGTGTAACTACTGGGTAATTGTTCCCAGTAGCATGTTCTAGCCAATGGTTTTTACAGGTTCTGCAGATAATGCCTTAGGAATGGGGCAGGTCTTTCAACCAACATTCCCTTTTTCTTGATTCACAGATGAATTCATTATTTCTCCAGTAGAAGGGGAGCTCCGTGTGCAAAGAGGTGCCGAGTTGGATCGAGAAAGCATTGCATTTTATAACTTAACCATTATGGGCAAAGACAGAGGCACACCAGCTCTGAGCAGTACGGTCAGTCCTTAACTTGTTCATACCCCTTGTTTTATATTAGCGCAACATGTATTACTACCATCAAGCTTTACCTATTGTTAATTTTTGGACAGTAACTTTTATCAGTCAATAGCAAGGATAGGCATGTGGACGAACTTGCCTCAGTTTTCCCATTATCTCAATCTGATTCTTGCTCGATCTTTCTAAATTTCTTGCTCTCTTTCATTTCTTTGTACCTTCATTTCTATTCTTATTCCATCATTCTTTCTCCCCTCCCTCTCTCCTTTCTTTCCTTCAGTTATGCTCTCACAAGGCTGGCATGGACCATGGTTTCAGCCTTGAGATTATGTCCCACATGAGACAGGGACCCACTGGTCAAATACACCTAGATACTTCTGAAGTGCAGTCAATAGCTCCTGCAAAGAATGGTGTTGATTGAGGGATAAATATTGGCCAAGGCCCCAAGGAGATATCCGCTGCCCTTCCTCAAAAGGGAACGTCTTACATCCATTCATGATGTGGACATGCCGGTTGTTGGACTGGTGTGGATAAAGCCAGAAGTCACATGACACAGGTCACCTGACAAAGGAGCAGTGCCCCAAAAGCTTGTGATTTTAAATAAACCTGTTGGACACGCAACTTCTGACTTTACATCCATCCACATGAGAAGGCAAGTGGGAGCTCAGTTCAATGTCTTGCCAACCTTCAAAAGCTAGGTCGAAGCATTCTGCAACAGCTTCAGGAGGTCCTGCCTTTGACCACCACCAGTAAAGTCACAGGCCAAGATTCTGAAAACACATTCAGATTTAGAACTTTAAGTTTCTGGTCCCTATCTGCTGATTTTCTTGAACAGTTTAATCGAAGATTCTCAGCCACTGACAGCAACAAATTAAAGTCTACTTTAAGGTCATGGACTCAAATAACTCCACAGTTCACCCACTAAAACTTGCAACCCAATTAGACATCAGGCTTTATGGTCAGGCCCAAATTTGATTCACAAATCCTTGAACCTACAAGTAGTGTTTTACCATGAGTCCCGTTTTGTGGTGGAAAAGCTTGAGATGCAGTGTCAGCCTAAGTGTGACTTTGAAGAGGTTTACTTATTGGGAAAAGATTGATCAAATCTGGTGGTAAGGACCACCTATGCCCCTTCCCTCTCTCTGACTCATTTGGATTATAGCATCCCATTCCAGAACGGGGAATTTATTAGAATGGTACTGGAGACCAGTCAAGTTTATGTGGGGAATCTGGAAATCTTCCCCTTTGAGCAGGAAAACGTCAGTGTCGATATAACGCAGGAGTTAATAATCAGGAAGGCCTTGGATCAAGTAAAGAAGCTTCCCTCTTGCTTTATTGAACAGAGGACACAGATTTCAGGCCATTGACAAAAGAGTTTTTATTATGCTGTGAGTTGTTACAATCTGGAACACACTGTTTGAAAGTGTGCTGGAAGCATGTAACTTTCCAAAGGCAGATGCTTGAAGTGGAGACATTTGCCAAGCTTTGGGGGTAAGAGCAGGGTGAGTGAGCCTGGTTGGAACAACCAGCAGAGACATGATGCTCTGAATGGACTGCTCTGTGCTGTAAAATCCTCTGATTCTATTCTGTGCAGGTCCTGGTGGGCATTCACGTCCTGGACGTAAATGATAATGATCCTGTGCTCCAGAACATTCCGCGGAACTGCACCTTCAGTGAAAACACAGCCGTGTCCACAAGCATTACCAGAATTTTGGCCACTGACATTGACAGTGGGTACAATGCCCTCCTGACCTTTAGTATTACTGCAGGAAACATTGAAAATGCCTTCTTCATCAATGAAACAGTTAAGTAACTTCTAGGCTTAAGTACACGGATGTGACATGATTAGTATTAAGATTGAATCGAACATGAAATACAAAGTCTTGTTCACCCACTAGGCCCTGTGCTAACTGACCTACATTGTTAAATCTTATCTTCATGTTGAAATTCAAAATTCTTCCCTACTTCTCTAACCAGCGTCAGCCCTACAACCTCCAAAATCTTTGTGTTCTTTAGGATGAGTCTACATGGTTTTGAGAAAGGGAAATAATGTATTAACAAACAGGAAACTGAGGGCACACAGTATGAAGCTGGAGGAACACAGCAGGCCAGGCAGCATTAGAGGAACAGGAAAGCTGACATTTCAGGTCGGGATCCTTCTTCAGAAATGGGGAGGGGGAAGGCAGCTAGGAAATAAACAGAGAGGAGGGGTGGGGCTGGGGAAGGTAGTTGTGATGGTGATAGGTGAGTGCAGGTAGGGAATGGTGGGGATTGGTCAGTGAGGTGGGAGGGGCGGATAGGTGGGAGAGAAGATGGACAGGTTGTGTCAGGTCAAGGAGGTGGGGATGAGAGGGAGGGTTGGACATGGGATGAGGCAGGGGGTGGGGAGATTTTGAAACTGGTAAAATCCATATTTAGGCCTTCGGGCCATAGGCTCCCAAGGCAGAATATGAGGTGCTGCTCCTCCAGTTTGCGGGTGGTGTCATTGTGACACTGAAGGAGGCCCAGGATGGACATGTCACCCAGGGAGTGGGAGGGGGAGTTGAAATGGTTCGTGACTGGAAAGTGTTGTCATTTGTCGCGAACAGAGCACAGATGCTCTACAAAGCGGTCTCCGAGCCTCTGCTTGGTCTCACTGATGTAGAGGAGGCCACATCAGGAGCAGCGGATACAGTAGACCAAGTTGACAGATGTGCAGGTGAATCCCTGTCTGATTTGGAACGTTTGTTTTGTGCCTTGAATGGAGGTGAGGGGTGAGGTGTAGGGGCAGGTGTAGCACTTACTGCGGTTGCAAGGAAAGGTGCCCGGGTTCATGGAATTCACCAGTTTTAAAATCTCCCCATCCCCGGCCTCATCCCATGTCCACCCTCCCTCTCATCCCCACCTCCTTGACCTGACACAACCTGTCCATCTTCTCTCCCACCTATCCACTCCTCGAATCCCACTGACCAATCCCCACCACCTAACTGCTCTCACCTATCACCATCCCACTTACCTTCCCCAACACCACCCCTCCCCTCTCTATTTAGTTTCCAGCTCAACCCTCTCCATTTCAGAAGAAGGGTCCTGACCCGAAACGTCAGCTTCCCTGCTCCTCTGATGCTGCCTGGCCTGCTGTGTTCCTCCAGCTCCACGCTGTGTTGTCTCTGACTCCAGCATCTGTCGTTCTTGCTCTCTCTGAGGAAACAGAGAGTAGTTATTATGACTGGCGTGCTACAGGGTTTAGGCCTGGGGCCCCCACTTCCCCAAACTATACAAATGACTTGGATGAAGGAACCAAAGGTATGATTGCTAAATTTGCTGATGACACAAAGATAGACAGGAAGGTAAGTTGTGAAGAAGGCACAAGACAGTTTCAAAGAGATATTAATGGATTAAATGAGTGGGCAAAAATGTGGCAAATGGAATATAATGCAGGAAAATGTGAAGTTGTCCATTTTGGTCAGAAGAATTATGCTATCGAAATGGTCGGACATTGCAGAGATACAGTGTGCCCTATCTTAGGCAATAATCACAAAATGATAGTCTGCAGGTCCAGCCAGGAACCAGGAAAGCTACTTCTATTGTTTGTTGCCACAGAATTTGAAAAAGAAAGAAGGAAAGTTATGCTTCAGTCATACAGGGCATTAGTGAAACCAGTTCAGGAGCACTGTATACAGTGTCTTACTTAAGATGCACCTTATTTAAGGAAGGATATAAACACATTGGAAGCAGTTGAGTGAAGGATTGCCAGACTAGCACCTGCAAGGTGAGGCTTGTCGTAAGAGAACAGGTTGGACATGCTAGACTGGTATCAGCTGAGGTTTCAGAGAGTAAGAGATGGATTGATTGAAATATTTAAGATCCTGAGGATTTTTGACGGAGTAGACAAGGAATTAAACTAGTGGAAGGAACCAGAACTGGGGGTGACTGCTTAAAATTAAACAGCTGTCCATTTAAGTCAGAGATAAGCAGAATTTAATTTTCTCTAAGGGTCATGAGCCTTTGGAACTTTTCAAAAGATGGTGAAAACAAAGAGTTTGAATATTTTTAATGGAGTGTAGGAGGGATTCTTATTCAGTAAAGACTGAAAGGTTATTGGGGAGGCTGGACTGTAGAGTTGAGGTCACAACTAGATCAGCCATGATCTTTTTGAAGGGCAGAACTGGTCTGAGCATCTGAGTGAACCACCCATGCCCCTTCTGCGTATCTTCCTGCATGGGGATCCAAATTGATTGATTGTGATTCCTTGATAACGTTAATGTTGCCTGTTATTTTTTTTTACAGACTGGAGTCATTTATGTCAACAGACCATTGGATAGAGAGCAGATTGCTGAATACAAGCTCACCATCACAGTCAAAGACAACCCAGAAAACCCAAGACATGCTCGAAGAGTAATTATTTTCAGCCCTATCAGATGCTGTGTTGCTACTCGTATCTGCGCCATCATCTTTAGCAGTTAGAGTTATATTGCATATGTGATTAAAATGTCAGAATGACGTGCACATTTATTAATCATATACCGAGTAGGATCATAAAATTGTATGCAGAGGGTCTTGTGATGCAATGGTAGTGTCCCAACCTCTGAGTCAGCAGATCAAAGCTCAGATCCTACCACAGATAGTTGGAGGTGTGTCATTACAGATCCAAACCGGTTGGTTGAAACAATATAGTGCACGAGTTTAGATGTAGCTAATAAATAGGTGTCAACCACATGAGCTGTCAAGCATATTCCATCATTGAATAAATTCATGCCTAATTTAATAAGTTCACCACATCTCCCATTCCTCGATTCACTTAAGAGTCCAAATATATATCAATTACTCTGCAACTTAGCCTCCCTTTGGGGTAGAGAAGTCAAATTCGCACCCTTCTGAGGGAATAAATTTCTCTAAGACTTCTAGGTCCTGGATGGCTGTCTCCTTAACCCAGGTTATCCTGACATAGCCTGATTCATAAATGTTACTATGTCCCACCTACCTTCCCCAGCACCACCCCTCCTCTCTCTATTTATTTCCAAGCTCCCTTCACCCTCCCCCATTTCTGAAGAAGGGTCCCGACCCGAAACATCAGCTTTCCTGCCCCTCTGATGCTGCCTGGCCTGCTGTGTTCCTCCAGCTCCACACCGTGTTGTCTCTGACTCCAACATCTGCAGTTCTTACTATCTCTGAAAATTACCTTGCTTCTCTGCTTTTTCCCATAACCCTGCAAAGGTTAAAGGTCTACCAGATCCTGTTTTGAAAGCTATTTCTTCATCTGATCCACTATCCTTTTTAGGCAGTGGATTCCAGATCAGAACAGCTTACTCCTTAAGCGTATGTTTGGCTAATTATCGTAACATTTCAGACAGCATGGGCTCACACAATTAGCACCAAGGATTAGGAAATGCGGAGAGATCTGCACAAGTAGAGGGTGTATTTGCTGGAACAGAGATTGTAAAGGTAGAATCTAGTAGATCCAACTTCAGATGCTTTGTACGTTAAAGAGGAAAAGATTTTTTTCACTTTGCAGTGAAACAGTAACAAAGGTGCATAAAGCAGCCACCATTCGGCTCATCATGTCTCCAGCAGCTCTTCAAATGAACATCATTACCCAGTACCAATCTCCTGCTTTCTCCCCATTGGTTCTATCCAAATCATGATCCAATCCCTTCTTGAATGCCTCAGCTTGAACCTGCCACCAAGGAAAGGTAGGGTGAGGATAAAATAAAGTGTTTGACTCCAAACCTTATTAGAATTGATTGTTTTTGTTAGGTAAGGCTGTCAAGGGTACAGAACCCAAGATGAGTAGATTCAGTGAAGAAGTGTACCAGTCTTGATCTAATTGAGTGATAGAATGTGCCTTAGGAACTGAATGGCCTCCACTTGCACCCATGTTCCTGGAGTATAAAATCCATTCAAGTCAAGTTAATCACATAGAATTATAGAAAATAGGAGCAGGATTAGGCCATTCAGCCCATCAAGGTACCTCCACCATTCAATATGATCATAGAATCATAGTCATAGAGTCATGCAGGGCAGAAGCAGACACTTCGGTCCAACCAGTCCATGCCAAACATAATCCCAAACCAAATTAGTTCCTCTTGCCCGCTCCTGGCCCATGTTCCTCCAAACCTTTCCTATTTGTGTACTTATCTAATCAACACATTGTGGAACTGGAGGAACACAGCAGGTCAGTCAGCATTCGAGGAGCAGGAAAGTCAATGTTTCAGGTTTACACCCTTCATCAGGGTATAAAACCGGAACGTTGACTTTCCTACTCCTCTGATGCTGCCTGGCCTGCTGTGTTCCACCAGCTCCACACTGTATTAACTCTGACTCCAGCATCCACAGTTCTTACTATCTCCATGCACTTATCTAAATGTCTTTTAAACATTGTAGTTGTACCCACATCCATCACTTCCTCAGGAAATTCATTCCACACACAAACCACCTGCTGTGTAAAAAAATTGCCCCTCAAGTCTTTTTTAAATGTCTTTCCTCTCATCTTAAAAATGTGTCCCCTCGTTTTCAAACCCCTTTTGACTGATCCTGTATTTAATGCTATATTGCTACATTCTCCCCATGCTCTTGACACCTTTAGCTACTAAATAGCTATCTTTTTCTTTCTTAACTATATTCAGTGACTTCTTGTGGTAGAGAATTCCACAGGTTCACCAGCATTTGAGTGAAGAAATTTCTCCTCATCTCAGTTGAAATGGGCTAGCATGCATTCTGAGCTGGTCACCCCTTGTTTTAGATCCCCCCACCCAGGGGAAGGATCATCTCAGCATCCAGTCTGTCCAGCCCTGTCAGAATTTTATATGTTTCAATGGCATCCCCTCTCATTCTTCTAAACACAATGTTGAAAAAGAAATTCACTGGAAGAAAGAAGATGCCAGGAAAGTGATAATAAGGTGGATAAAGTGGAACCAACCCAGGTACAATGAAGATGCACATCATGGACTGAAATATTCATGTATTCAAGGTATTCTGATGAAAATACAAACCACAAGATAAAGGCTTAATTTCTCGATGCCAGGGCTCTGTAAATGCTCCATTTTGAGCAATATTGCTTATTTCCTTTATTCATTCACAGGCTAGGTAACATTTATTGCTTATCCCTAATTGCCCAGAGGGCAGTTAAGAGACAACCACATTGCTGTGGGTCTGGATTCACATGTAGGCCAGACCAGGTAAGGCTGGCAGTTTCCTTCCCTAAAGGACATTAGTGAACCAGATAGGTTTTTCGGACAATCAACAATGGTTTCACGGTCATCATTAGATTCTTAATTCCAGATATTTTTATTGAATTCAGATTCCACCATCTGCCATGGCGGGATTCCAACCTGGGTCCCCAGAACACTATCTGGGTCTCTGGATTAATAGTCCAGCAACAATACCACTAGACCATCACCTCCCTCTTGCACAGGCAAGAAGTGACGGTGTCATGCACACAGACCCACTCTTTGCAAACAAAAGGAATTTGCTCGAGCCTTGCAGCTTTTCTGATTAACCCAGGAGCTGGGGGTACCTATTGGATACTATTGCTTTGTCCGTGGCAACAACTTGGCTAATCAGCATTGACTTGCCAACCAATCAACACCCTTTTCTCTGAGAGTATAAATTGTTGTGATTTGACATTCTTACACTTGTCCCAATGAATGCAAGACAAAAAGCTTCTGCAACAGGTCTCTATTTTCTGCAACATTCAAAATGTAATTTGTTTCAATCAGGTGCCTGAATCCTAAGGTTGCATCACTACTTTGACCTCGTTCCAGGACAGTTGGCATTTTTGGGATAATTTTAAGTTGTGACTTTGTAGTCACTGTAAGCTTCAAGTGGAAGCCACTGCAGAATGGACCAGCAGTGTGTCAATGCTGAAAGGATACGAAAGGACAGATTATTAATGAGTACTTTTTCGGTGAATTATTGACAATTTCCATTGCTCCCCACCCGCTGCTCTCCCAAGCTTCAAATCTATTTCCAGCCAGTTCCTATGCTCAACTGTTTCTTTTCTTGTCACTGTTAGAAAGTGGGGGAGAGTGTGATGGAGAGAGGGGTCATCCATGAGCTCAGGACCAACTGAGCCAAAGAAAAAGTACGATGAATATTGACAACCTACAAACAAGTTTGTTTTGTGTCTTCCTCAACATTTGGATGGGGGAGTGTTGCTCGGGTTAGCGGGCTGGCCATTAAAATGCAGAGTTGCATCACAAGTTCTCCATCTGTGGTCAGCAGCTGCTAGGGTGAGTCTTGAACCCAGAGCTTCTGGCCTTGAAGCAGGAGTTGCTTCCTACTACACTACAGAACCTCCACAATGATAGAGCAAGTCTTTTCTTTCAGTAAACTCTGAAGAGATTGGTCCCTTCATTTTGTTCAGAATGTTCAGAACACTGTCTCTCTCTCACCAGGATTCTGGCGTACTGACCATCTCCATCTCAGACGAGAATGATAACAGTCCCACCTTTACGCAGACGTCATATCAAGCTGAAATTCTGGAGAATGCAGACACAGGTAGGTGTGTCATTACTGGCCACATATTGAGTTAGACAAAATCCTCAAAACAAAAACCCTTCTCTGATCTGCTTCCAAAGAACTTACACCTTTCCTTAAATAAGATGACTAACACAGCGCACAGTACTCCAGAAATGATCTCACAGCAGTGGCCTGAAAACTAAAGGATAACCTCCCTACTGTTACATCCAGTTCCCTCACACTAACTGGTAGCATTTCGTAATTACTTGCTGTACCTGCATCCTAGCCTTTTGTGATTCATTCCTGACGACTTGGGCAGCACAGTGGCTCAGTGGTTAGCACTGCTGCCTCGCAGTGCAGGCAACCTGGGTTCATTTCTACCCTTGAGCAAGTGTCTGTGTCGAGTTTGCACATTCTCTGTGTGGGTTCACTCTGGGGTTCCTCCCACAGTTCAAAGATGTGCAGGTTAGGTGGATTGGCCATGCTAAATTGCCCCATAGTATTCAGGGATGTGTATGTTAGGTGGATTAGCCATGGGAAATGTAGGGTTTCAGGGATAGGCTTGGTGGGTGAGTCCGGGTTGGGATGCTCTTCAGAGGGTCGGTTTGGACTTGTGGGGCTGAGTGGCCTGTTTCCACACTGTAGGGATTCTTTAAAAAAGAAACTTGCATTTCTGTAGTACCTCCCAAGACCTTAAGTCTCCCAAAGTGTTTTGCAGCCAATGACGTATTTCTTGAAACGTAGTTACTGTTATAATGTAGGATTAAGGCTTTTAGGATTGAAAAAGGATTTGAATGACTGGATAGAGAGAACCCTGTTCCACTTTCTAGGAGACGTTGATTTGAAATCAGAGCTGGGCTACTGAGGGGAGAAGCTTGAAAGGCTTATTCATGAAAAAAGTGCCAGGAGGTATGAAACAGTGTCCCATGTGGGTCTCCGTCAATTCCTGAAATCTGAGACCAGTAGGTTATAATCTGACTAGGAATATGGAGCCAATGGGAGGAGGGACTGGAATAAGATGGACATGGGTCAGCCATAAACTCTCTGAACAGCAGCAATGATTTAAGAGGTTGAATGGTCTCCTTCTGTTCCAATCATCCCAACTGCCAGCCCCAGTGCCGTATTTGCCACAGAATTATTTGAAGGACTTGAATTATATAGCGCCTTTCACATCCTCAGGAAACCCCAAAGCTTTTTACAGGCAAGGAAGTACATTTTCAAGTCTGGTTACTGTTGCAGAGCAGCATAAGTAGTAGAACATAGAAGCAAATTACTGCAGATGCTGGGATCTTTACTGTAAACAAAAAATGCTGGAAATCACAGCGGGTCAGGCAGCATCCATGGAGAGAGCGAGCAATCTAACGTTTCCAGTTGAGATGACTCTTATTCAGAGCCGGTGATGATGAAGAGTCATCCAGACTCGAAACGTTAGCTTGCTCTCTCTCCATGGATGCTGCCTGACCCGCTGTGATTTCCAGCATTTTTTGCTTTCAGTCGAAAGTAGTAGAAACTTTTGTACACGGCAAAATCCCACTATAATGGTCAGATGGTTTTGATGATGTTTATAAAGTAGAGATTAGCTAGCACACTGTGAAGGACACTGTACCATGGGATCTTGAGTCCAGCTAAGACAGGACCTCTGATTAATATCGTACCTGAAAGTCAGAACTCCAGACGGTGACATTGACAGGCATGCTGTATGACTCTATGCCAGATAGGAGGATTCCAGCAAACTCAATACACTTCTGAAGAGCCAGGCAGGTGCTGGCTAATAGTAACTCCTAAATCACCGTTCAAAGGGATAGCCTATCCTTCTGCACTGCACTAGCTGTCAGCATAGATACTGTGCTCAGGTTTCTGGAGTGGGACTTGAACCCATAGCCTTCTGACTCAGCAGGAGTGCCAGCCACTGAGACACAGCTAAACATGGAATCAGTGTAGTTATCTATTTTGTGAAAGGAACTCAATGGGCTTGGGCAGAATCAAACAATGGCAAGCATAAGCCACAATTTCTATTTTACTTGCCCATACTATGATCTTAAAAACTGGTTTCAAAGGTGTTACAGTAAGTGTCTAAAAGTTAATGTTCCATTGACCAAAGTTAACACATCTTCCCTCATTGTTTAATTTCTAGGTACACAAATCACCATGCTGAATGGACCTATTTTAGCTTTTGACAGTGATGAAGGACTCAATGCTGTCGTCAGTTACCAATTACAGGGTAACACAACTGAATTCTTCACAATAGACTGGAACACTGGTGAGCTATTGCCCCTTTGTTACCTAGAGCTGAAAAGATAGACTTCACTCATTAATTCCTAGCACATCCTGTAGAACTATCCTCAGGTACTTCAGAGACAGTGAATTATTCTGGAGCCCCACTGAGTGTTAAGTAGAGCAATATTACTCTCAATTTGCTTGCAAACAGCAGTGAGACAAATGTGATAGTAATCTCTTTTAGGTTCTGTTGGCCAAAGGGGTAGCGAAATGATTTGCTCCATGGAGTAATGTCTACTGTTTAGGCTGACACATCCAATGGAAATGAGAGTAACCAGTGAGAATTGGAATGCAACTAAACTCACTGTCAATGATTTTACTTTCACTCAAGGCAAGATGGGGCGGCATGGTGGCTCAGTGGTTAGCACTGCTGCCTCACAGCACTAGGGTCCCAAGTTCAATTCCAGTCTTGGGCAACTGTCTACGTGGACTTTGCATATTCTGCATGAGTTTGCTCTGGTTTCCTCTAACTATCCATAGATAAGGTGGATTGTCCATTGTGTCTAGCAATGTGCAAGCTAGGTGGGTTAGCCATGGGAAATGTAAGGTTATAGGACAAGGGGTGGGTCTGGATGAAATGCTCTTCAGAGGGTTGGGATGGGCCAAATAGCCTGATTCCACACTGTAGGGATCCTATGAAATGTTTCACTCTCATTTGATGATGAAAACTCAGATTCTTGATATGTAGGCATGCAAGACATCCAATTTTAGTTATGATTAAATGGATACACAGATGTGGAAGAGTCTATTTGGCTGGACTGAAGTCTTGGAAAATATTAATCTAAACTAAGAAAAATGCTATGTTGTTAAATTCCGTAATGGTTTTCTGTGCCGCAGAATTGGACACAATTGAATTGCCAATTCTAACTAATAATCATCAAATGCATAGCTAAAATCTTCAGAGGTTTGAACCTCACTTAGCACATGCCCATTTTGATTTAAGTTCAGGGGCACAACTTTCAGCTCTACTATCCCATATGTAAATACAACAAACGTATTGCACAAGCAAGGGAAATGGGTAAATTTGATTAGCTTTCCAACAGTAAAAATCCCAAGACTTTACCAGTGAAGGGAAATTGCCAGGGATGAGAGTCAGGAAGGGTTAAAAACAGTTCAAGCTTGAACAGAGGTCAATGAGTAATGAAAGAGAGACACCAAGCAAATCCAGAACTATTGACACTGGATAAGGGGAGCTAGCTACAACCTGCTAAGAGACAAGTTGAAGGCTGATGCCAGGAAGCACATTTTTCACACACACACTGAGAAATACCTTGAATGGGAAGGAAGCCAAATCTCTGTTCAAGAGGTGATGAGAGGGGTTAACCCTGAGGAAAAGCTGGCCCTGTATTCACTGAGTTTAGAAGAATGAGAGGTAATCTCATTGAAACATATAAAATCCTGAGGGGACTTGGCAAAGTGGATCCTGAAATGATTTTTCTCATCATAGGAGCAACTAGAAATTTGAAACATGGTTTAAATGGGAGACAGTTAATTTTAAGACAAAAATTAGAAATACTTTTTCTCTTAGAGGATTCCGAGCTTGTGGAACTCTCTTCCCCAGAGACTGGTGAAGGCAGGGTCGCTGAATACTTCAAAGGCAGAGAGAGAGATTCTCGACTAATGAGGAAGTCAAAGGATATCAGGGCAAGAGAGTAGATTGAGACTGATTGAGATCAGCCTTGATCTTATCGAAGGGCAGAGAAGGCTTGAGGAGCCAAATGGCCAATTCCTGCTCCTGATCAGTTCTGTTTGTATGTATGTGCTGGTGAACCTATAATTGTTTTTGTGACAAAACGGTTTAGTGTAACTTTCTCCATTTAGAGCAGGACAGTCATTGTATATGGAGTTCGGATTGGTTTATATTTGCTGGTACAATTTGCTCAGATATCCTGTGACTATCCCAACAAGTGTACTATTTTAATTAATGTGTTTGATGCCTGACTGTCTTTTATTCATTTTCCAGGCATTGTCTCTGTCGCACCAGGAAAAAGTATTAACAGAGAGTCATTGCCTAATGCAAGACTGGAATTGACTGTAATAGCAGAAGATATTGGTCAACTGAAGAGTGTGGCTAGACTCACTGTTACAGTCTTGGATCAAAATGACAATGCACCAGTCTTTACCCCTTCTTCAATGACTGTCCACATTCTGGAAAACAGCCCCTCAGGTGACGTATAGGATCATGAATGTCAATGATCTATTAACTACTATTTCTGGGCTGACGAGTTGGCAAACCTCAGATCACTGGGAAGTAATACTTGGAAAGTTATGTGCACCAAGTTTGGATAATCAATTGGTTGGACAAATGAGAAAGCCTCATCAATGCTCTTATCATAGAGAATCATAGAATCCGTACAGTGTGGAAAGAGGCCCTTCGGCTCAACAGGTCCACACTGCCCCTCAGAGCATCCCACCCAGACCCATCCCCCTATAACCCACACTATTTGGACACTCTTCCATTGGTGCTTGTAGAAAATTGGAAGATTGTTGAAGAGAGTCTCCCCAAAGTCTTCTATGTATCTATTTATCTATGCTGCTCTCTGTTTTCTTCCCTAGTTCGATGTATTTAACATTGCTCCCTGGTTTGTACAGTTCTGGATTAAGCTACTTAACAACGTGTGTCTGACCAATTGCAATTCCATGGTATTAGTTCAGAAATGGGCCAACCATGGAACATGAGACAGCATCATTCTCTTAAAATGCTCTGGGAAGGGTCACCAGACCCAAAATGTTAACTATGATTTCTCTTCACAGATGCTGCCAGACCTGCTGAGCTTTTCCAGCAGTTTCTGTTTTTGGTTCATTCTCTTAAAATCTCCTTGCTGGGGTGTAAAGGGCTTGCAGCTGAATGAGAGCTGGATCCATGTCTGGCCAGACTGAGGCAATAGTGTGACCACATCTCTGCTGGCTGTAAGGATCTCGAGTAGGAAATTAATCTGCAAATTCTCAATCCAGTTTCCCGCGACGATCTTTCTGTTGCAGCCTTTGGTTTAAGGACGACGTCAGAAATCTGAATCACAATAATTGACAAGTCAGCTGCGAGTAATACAGAGATGAGGGCTGCTTGTTTAGTATCTGACAGTATATCTGTCAGCTTCTGTCTGACAATGCTAAACATGACCAGGAAGAGCTTGATGCCACACGTGGCATCATCTCTGATTTTGTTCATGTGGAACAAAACAGAAGGAGAGCAAAGCAGCACAGCCCATTTCTGTTCTCAGCCTGCTGCATTGTTATAGCAAAGCCAAAGGCAATCTGGAGGAACAGCACCTCATTGGGTATTTTACAGCCTCTAGAACTCAGCATTGAGTTCAGACCATGAACAATGTCTTCCAGGCATGTTGTTTAAAAAGTGTTTGCTCTCAACAGAGCTGACCCATTTTCTGATAACACTTTGGGCCACTAACACCTACCCGCTGTCTATAGGCAACATGGTGGTGCAGTGGTTAGCACTGCTGCCTCACAGGACCTGGGTTTGATTCCATCCTTGGGTGACTGTCTGTGTGGAGCTTACGTAATTTCCCTGTGTCCACGTGGATTTCCTCCAGGTGCTCCGATCTCCAAAGATGTGCAGATTAGGGTGGATTGCCATGCTAAATTGCCCATGGTGTCCAGGGATGTGCAGTCTCTTTGGGTTAGCCATGGGAAGAGAAGGGTCACGGGGATGGGATGGGTTTGGGTGGGAGAGCTCTTCAGAGGACAATGTAGACTCAATGGGCTGAATAGCCACTTTCCATTCTACTGCTTTTAGCACTCCCTTTGCCTTCTGCTGTCAGCACCCTTCCTACCTGTTCCATTTGCTCCTTCTCCCCCACCCACTTTCCAACAGCATCAAAACCCATTTCGCTTCCAGCCCCCTTCCTTTACAGTGAAGAGACATACAGGACCTGAAACATTAGCTCTGTTTCTCTCACCACATACACTGCCAGACCTGCTGAGTTTCTCCAGCACTTTCTGGTTTTATTGCAGCAGAATCCACATTCATAGCCACCAGGCTCAGGAGATAAAGTGTTAACAGGGCAAAATCTCCATCTTTTGTCTTGGTTTAAGTTCAGTGATGTTTCCTCTGAATCCTAAAAAAAAAGTGCACCTGCAGTTGTTCGACATTTCAAAGTGGAAGTGCCATCCAGTTTCTTATACTGGTGTTGCAAGATAATCTTACTCATGCAAACCACACATGGACAGGAAGAAAGCCTTGAATATTATTTTCAGCACTTCTGATGTTTAAGTTGCCAGTGAGACAGATTGAGAAGGTTCTGTTGACTTCCACCATTCCTGACCTGATAGGAAGCGGGGCGCCATGATTCTCATCCGTGATTGACAACTCCATCAACATTCATGTCCCACCCTGCCTGCATGCACTCCCTCGGGAAACCTCTGAGAATGGTGGCTTGTGAAAGACCGTAGGCTCGGGATGATCCAAAATGATATTGAATTTCCTTGCATCCCCCCGTTTTAAACAGAAATGTCATTCCATTTCCCCACCCCAAGCATCATCACTGGTTCAAATGGTTGTGAGAAACCTCTGAGCCTGCTGTAGGTTTAAGGTTAGGGTTAGGGTTATCTTGTCCAGCCACTGAAAGGTATCGAAGCGTGGCTCTGTTGAGTTTGCTGTTCACGAGTCAGCACAGGACACAAGTGAGATAACAGCAGGAGCGAATCGTTTGTTGAAATGTAGAAAATAGGAGCAGGAGTAGGCCATTGGCCCTTTGAGTCTACTGTACCATTCAATGTGATCAAGGTTGATTATCCAACTCAGTCCCCTCTTTCAGATATTCCCCACACCCTTTCATCCCCTTAACTCTAAGACTTACATCTAACTCCTTCTTGAAAACATTCAATACCTCAACAGCTTTCTGTGGTGGAGAATTTCACAGGCTCCCCACTCTCTGGATGAAGGAATTTCTCCTCATCTCCATCCTCTTTATCCCCTGAAGCATGCTGCACTCTTCGATACCACCAGAGTTGACCTTGGGCCTCAACTCCTCTCTCCACCCCGCCCCCCCCACTGTATCCCTGGTTCCCTTAGAGAACAAAAAACCAGTCCATTCCAGCCTTGAGGAATATTCATTGAAGTCGCTGCTGAATCAGGCTGCTCAGTCATGTTGAAGAGACCCTCGACCTGAGGAGACACTACCCTTGAGTCGAGGGACAGCCGACAACAAAATGTGTTTGATCCACCAGCCTGAAGAAGAGAGAATTGCAACAATTTGCAGCCCACCCTTGTCACAGTGCTGAATGATCGGCCCCTGATCTGTGACTGACCTTACACTGTCCAAACATGTTCTGCCAAGGGAAATGACCTCTCAGTACCTGTTGAGCCCCTTCAGAGTCTTGTATATTCCAGAGAAGTCAGCTCCCATTCTTGTAAATTTACTGAGCCACTCATCATAGGCTCCCTCCCCCCACTTCATTCCAGGGGCAACTAATACGGAATCTTCTCTCAGGACATCCTCACTACGGCACAACTCCGTTTAGTAATCAACTTCTGAGGGATGAATGACCCACTCTTACCATCCCATGAGTGCACTTAAGATCTCTGTACCTAATTCTGCTGTCTCATTCTTATATGAACTAGACAGAGAGGCTTCTGTAAATGATAGAGGAAGGCAAAGATTTACATTTTCTAGTTGAAATCCAAACATAAGGAAACAATTCATTGTGAGAAAGTCTTGGTCTTTTCCTTAGCATGAAGAAGATTCCCGATACATTGCTGTGTTCCTTTGTGTCGTAGGTTTCAGCGTTGGCCAGGTGACAGCAACAGATGCAGATACTGGAGTGAACCAGCAGCTGAGTTACCGGATAGAGGGAGGTGCTCTGGATAAGTTTATCATCGACCCTCGCACGGGAGTCATCAAAGTGGCCAATGGAGTAACGGTGGACCGAGAGGAAAGGGCGTCCTACACACTCATTGCGGTTGTGACGGACAGTGGTACCCCATCATTGTCAGCGAGTGCCACTGTGAACATTGTGATTGATGACGTTAATGATTGCCGTCCTGAGTTCATTAGCCCTATCCAAACCATCAGCATCAGCGAGTCAGTGACTGTCGGTTCTGTCATCGCAAACATAACAGCCACAGATCGGGACCTCCACCCTCAGCTGGAGTATTACATTATCGAGCTTGTGGCTAAGGATGACACTGATGAAGAGGTACAGGAGTATCAAAGGGCCTTTGACATCAATTTTAAAACAGGTAAATAGACAAGGACTATAAACAGGGAAGGCTGGAAACACTTGGGTAGATTTGGCAAACCTAAAGAGAAAAGGTCATTGACCTGAAATGTGAACTGTTTCTGTCTCAGAACCTGAGTATTCCCTGTTTTCAGTTTGAGATTTTCATCATCTGCTATGTTGTCCTTTACAAAGACCTCATAATTTTAAATCTAAGTTATCTCTTGAAAGAGCAGCCAGTTCAAGACTGCCCAGAGAGAGTGAGAATGACTTTGGATCCCACCAGTTCCTTCTTGTAGCCAAGTCTGAAGTTGCTCACAAAGAGGATTTTAATCTGATATTTAAGATCATCCGTCATAATGGTGACCCTCCCTCCCATGAAAGCAAAGTAAAGGCTGTGACTGTAAATATTTTTCAGTGATTATAAACTGCGCACAAAACTCCGGGAACATTGATCCCACTAACATATTTGTTCTTCTCTTTTACCAGGTGCTGTGTTTGTGAGAACGCCTTTGAATAGAGAGCTGGTAGCTACCTACACACTTACCATTTCAGTACACGACAATGCCAGTGAGGTGATCAGTCATTCTGTCAGTGTTCCCAATGGTAAGATTTTCTCAGACACAAGTACAGGTAAAGTCGCCCTAATCCCAGAGGATCACAGGACTGCTCTCTCATTCGAGAGAGACAAATGGTGGCAGTTGAACCTAAGGGTCACCACACCTCAGGCGAGGGGAGAGGTTGAGAAGGAGAGTCTATCATGGTAACCTCAGCTGATATGGGTATCGCTATAGAACAGTACAATTAATGGAGGATGAGATATCTCTCAATTTCTGGTAGCCATGATGTGGAGATGCCGGTGTTGGACTGGGGTGGACAAGGTCAGAAATCACATGACACCAGGTTATAGTCCGACAGGTTTATTTAAAATCACAAGCTTTCAGAGTGCAGCCCGTTCATCAGGTGAAGTGACAAAGGAGCAGCCCTCCGAAAGTTTGTGATTTTAAATAAACCTGTTGGACTATAACCTGGTGTCGTGAGACTTCTGACTTTTTCAATTTCTGTTCAGTACTGTGTCCAGTTTTACTACTTCTATGCATGAGTAAAGTTACTATTTTAGAATAAAGCTTTGAATTTAAAAATGAAGCTTCCCTGTTTGGGGACAAAAGAGGAGATTAGAGCACAGGTTCATCGGCTTGGGCCTTGGGAGGAGAGGGTTGTCCTGTGATGAGAGACTGAGTAAATTGGGTCTGTAATGGAGTTTAGAAGAATGAGAGATAATCTCATTCAAATAAACATTTAAGGTTCTGAGGGGACTTCACAAGGTGGGTACTGAGATGTTTTTTTCCCTTCTGGCTGGGAAATCTCAAACACAGAGACACACACTCTGGATCACTTAGGACTGAGAAACATCTTTATTCAGAGGGTTGTGAATCTTTAGAATTCTAGAGAGTTCTGGCTGCACTGTCATTGGATTAAGGTTGAGATAGACAGAATTTTGATCCCTCAGTGAATTGAGGCATTTGGGGAGGGGGGCATGAAGATGGAGATGAAACCCAAGATCAGCTGTGATAGTATTGAATGTCAGATTGAAGGGTCAAGAGACTCACAACTCGCATTTAATGTCTTCATATTCTATGTACTGTACGTATACATCAAAAGGATTGACAAAGTAAATGTACAGAGGGTGTTCCCACATGGGGAGAGTTTAGAATGAGACATCATGGTTTCAGGATAAGCGGCATCAGATTTAAAACAGAAATATGGAGGAATTACTTCCCTCAAAGGGTTGTGAATTTGTGTAATTCACTTTTCCAGAGTGTCGTGGAAGCTGGGATACTGAGCAAATGTAAGTCGGAGATAGATTTTCAATTAGTAAGGAGTTGAAGTGTTATGAGACCACAGGTAGGAAAGTGTAGCTGAGATTGAGATAGCATCAACCATGATTGTTTCAAATGGTGGAGTAAGCTTGAGGGGCTGAAATGCTTACTCCATCTCCTGGTTCTGATGTTCTTATATGTATATTGTACATATGAGGTCTTGCCTAACAACTATATCCTTGAGGAATTGAGGAGAAATCTAGGCATTCTTGATGCATTTTATTTTAGCAGATGATTTTATTGAGGTTTGGTAGTGTTGTGTTATCCTGCAGATTGGAATAGAACAGGTAGCTGCTCAGCAACAAACAATGGGCATTATTGACAGCAAATCCTTCTCAAAGGCCAGAGCTCGGTGCAGGTTTTGAAATAGTCTTCGAGCAAAACTGGAGGTACTGGTGTTAAGATTCTACGAGGTTGATCGCCTTGTGGTGCTCATGAGGTTGTATGCCAACAGCTATATTCCCATTATAACCGTTCCAATTCCACTTCTTCATGCTAGCTCATTGTTTCGTGATGCTGAGAATAACAGAGACATGATGGAACAACGCTCCCTCTTGAATATCACAAAACCAAATCTAATATGTTTAAGATCATACAGCAAGGATTCAAATCCTGGAACATCCTCAGAGTTGATCCTGAACAACTGAGTTTCTGAATTAAGAGGAAGAGTTAGAAACTGGAATGTTTCCATCTTAAAGGGAGGTGTCCTTATCGAGGTATTATCACATAGTGGAGGCTTTGGGTAGGATAAATTGGAGCGGTATCATCATGGTGAATGAACTCCAAGACACATTTTTGACTCAAGTAAGGGAGTTAATCCCCTGTAGAGAAATCCGTTTCATAATTTCAAAATTATTAGTAAGAGAGCTAGGAGTGAGATGAGGAGAAACTTCTTTCCTCAAAGAGTTGTTAGGATTAGGAATGAGCTCCCTAGACAGTGGATTCCATATGAAATTTTAAAAGAGAGCTGGATATATATTTGAAAGTGATGAGTTTAGAGGGCTGTTGAGATAGGGCTGGACAGTGGGACTAGCTGGGTAACTCTTTCAGGAGCTGGTACAGACATGATAGGTCGAATGGCCTCCTTCTGTGCCGTAAAAGTCCATGCTTCTAAAGTGAACTTTTAAGGAGGACTGCAGAGAGAACTATCCCATGTTTAATTAAGACCAATGCATTAGTAATGTACAGTAAAAATCAGGGTTTCAGAAGTTTGTCACATAAAGTTTGACTTTAGGGGATGAGGGTGGTATAGTCAAATCAAAGGAACAGAAGAACTTCAGACCGAGGAGGAGGAGAAGGTGATTTGCTGCTTGGAGAGTGCTCCAATCCTTCAGTAAAATCCTGGTCTTTCTCAGCGGCACTCTCTCATCCTATTCCCGAATCCCTTGACTCGCCTTAATAGAGAACTATTAATCTCATTTAAATCCGTTTATTTGACTGTCTGTTTTATTTCAGCAAAACTGACAGTGAATGTCCTGGATGTGAATGACAATCCTCCTCGATTCAGACCGTTCGGGGTTAATACTTTCACTGAGAGGATTCTGGAAGGAGCAACAGCTGGTACAACGCTACTCTCTGTCTCAGCTGTGGATCCTGATAAAGGACCCAATGGACTGATCAACTATGAACTCCTGAATCTCCCTCCCGGGGACTACATCAGATTGGAGGATCCTGCAGCAGGTGAACACTGGAGAATTTTGAAAATGCTCTCATCCACCAAGCTTTGGTCCAGAGTAGATCACAGCCCCCGTCACGTTATTGGGCACTGTGACTGTTCACTCATTTAATCTATTGATGGTCCTTTTAGACTTCTTGGTCTCATCTACACTCTAGAACAGATAGTCCTACGGGTTCAGGTACAAAGTTCTTTGAAGTTTGCGTTACAGGTAGACGGGGTTCTTAAGAAGGCATTTAGCACACTTGCCTCCATTGCTCAGACCCTTGAGTGTAGGAGTTGGGACATCATGTTGAGGTTATACAGGATGTTAGTGAGGTCTCTTCTGGAGTACTGTGTCCAGTTTCTGGTCGCCCTGTTATAGGAAGGATATTATTACGCTGGAGAAGGTTCAGAAAAGTTTTGTCAGGATTTTGTCAGTAATGGAGGGTTTGAGTTATAAAGAGAGGCTGGATAGGCTGGGACTTATTTCCAACTGGAGTGTAGGAGGCTGAGGGGTCACCTTTTGTAGAGGTTTATAAAATAATAAGGAGTATAGATAAGGTGAATGGCAGATGTCTTTACCCTCCAGTGGGGTATTTCAAGACTCGGGGGCACATTTTTAAGGTGAGAGAAGAAAGACATGAGGGGCAATTTTTTTACGCAGAGAGTGGTTCGTGTGTGAAATTAACTTCCAGAGAAAGCGGTGGATGCAGGTACAGTTATAACATTTAAAAGACATTTGGACAGGTACATGAATAGGAGAGGTTTCAGAGATAGGGACCAAACGCAGGCAAGTGGGACTAGTTTAGTTTGGGATTATGGTCGGCATGGACTGCTTGGACTGAAGGGTCTGTTTCCGTGCTGTATGACTCTATGACTCTGTGTTCAGTGCTGACTAATCTGCGGTTTTTGAAATTTGGCATTCTTGTATTTCTTGTCCTGATGAGTGCAAAAACAGCACGTTTTTCTTTTTCAGCAATATTTAACTTGATATCCCTGGTAAAGTAGAGACATGAAGGACATCGATGTTTGGAGTGGCAGTATCAGTATCCATAGCACAGGGTGGCATGGTGGCTCAGTGGTTAGCACTGCTGCCTCACAGTGTCAGGGACCTGGGTTTGATTCCACCCTCGGGTGACTGACTGTGTGGAGTTTGCACGTTCTCCCCGTGTCTGTGTGGGTTTTCTCTGGGTGCTCTGGTTTCCTCCCACAGTCCAAAGATGGATGGATTGGCCATGCTAAATTGTCTGTAGTGTTCAGGAATGTGTAGATTAGGGAGGGTGGGATGCTGTGAGGGGTAGGTGTGGACTTGTTGGGCCAAAGGACCTGTTTCCACACTGCAGGGATTCTATGAGTTTGTTTGAAAAATTATCATTTAAGCCCCAGATAGGGATTGATAGATTGATCCTTTATGGAGCTGATGTTATCTGAGCTTTAATACAGACTTTAACCCCAATTCCCCTCCTCATCCTCCACTCCATCCCATTCCCACTCCACCCAAACTCCTTCAAACACAGGGAAAATAGTTGCAAGCAGGACAGTGGATTACGAAGAGGTTCAGTGGCTGAATTTCACAGTGCGGGCAGTGGATCACGGATCACCACCTCGATCTGTGGAGGTTCCAGTGTATTTACAGATCAAGGACGTCAATGACAATAACCCTGTCTTTGGGCAGACATCCTACCAGGTATCTGTGGCATCTCTTCATGGACTGTAAGTAGCTTTGGAGCGAGCATTAACCTTGTAACCTGTGACTAATCATCATACGTCACAGCATAAGGAACAGGAGCGAGCATGCTCCTCATTTCAAAGAGGTCAAGACTACTTCAATGTGCCCTTTTCCCCATTTTCCATCGTGTGCAGTCATCTCTCGATCTCTACCTTCAGTAAACTTATATCTGAGCATCTACACTCCCTCTGGGGTAGGGAAAACGAAATCCTCAGCTCTGCCCTAAATAGTTGGCCCATTCTTCTGAGGTTGTGACCCCTGACATTCTAGAGCATCAACCCTGCCAAACCCTGTCACAAGGACATATCACAATATCATCTTGTTGATAGCAAAGATTGGCATTGCGACTCGACTCCTGTAGAAATGTGGTACAATGTGGGATGGTTAAGTGGAGTATCAACACCACAAAGCTGCCATCTGAAGCTCCCCATCCACAGTGCACCCAGCTAGGGGTAGAACTTACCTTTGTACCATAATGGTGAACTGGCAGCCATCTCCTCTGACTTTAATTCCATGATAGTCAGAGTGAGGCAGCCACCCTGAGAATCCTCACATTGAAGCTTCAGGAGTAGACAGTACCACAAGCTGAGCCAGTAATTACGATGACACATCGCAAATTGATGTGGGCATTTGATGGTCTTTATAGCATTTTCTCTTATTCATTTGTGAGATGTGGGCATCACTGCATGAGCTGTTGCCCACCCCTAGTTGCCCTTCAGAAGGTGATGGTGGTAAGCTGCCTACTTAAGCTGCAGTCCATGTGCTGTAGGTAGACCCATAATGCCCTTAGAGATGTCAAGCGAAACTGGAGGAACGGCGATATATTTCCAAGTCAGGATGGTGAGTGGATCGGAGGGGAACTTGCAGGGGATGGTGTTCCATGTATCTGCTGCCCTTGTCCTTCTAGATGGAAGTGGTCCTGGATTTGGAGGATGCTGTCTGAGGAGGCTTGGTGAGTTTATGTGGGTTTGCTGTCATGTTGGGCTTTGGCGTTAATCAGGATTTCTCCACTTTGCGTAACAATGCAGAAACCAGTGTTTGAAGACGTCTCCCTAGGCACAGTGATTCTTCAAGTTAGTGCAGAGGATGCAGATGATGGCAGCTTCTCACAGATTGAGTACAGCCTTGTGGATGGAGAGGGCAGGTTCGGAATCAATCCAACCACGGTAAGCAGGTATTTTCTGCAGCATTTATAAAGATCCCTTTGAAAGGAGAAGCATTCATCAAGTGGACTTGGGCATCACTGGTGAGTTCAATCTTTGTTGTCCAACATCCTTTATTTGCCCTTGAGAAGATGGCGGTGAACAGACATGCCCACAGTGCTGTTCCAGGAATCAAAGACCCCAGAAACAGGCCATTCTGTTATTGCCCCATTTCACTTGGGACTAAAACAGAATATATGACCGTGAAAATTGCTGGATTGTTATAACACCCCACCTGTTTGAGTAATGCCCTCCAGGGAACAGAACTTGCCACCCAGTCCTGGCATGGCTGCTACAAGCCCTTCCCGGCTGACTCTAGAATTGACTGGGTTCCCTCTCAAGCCATCCATTTTGTTATTATAGAATCCCTACAGTGCAGAAAGAGGTCGTTTAGCCCATCAAGTCTGCACCCAACCAAAGAGCATCACTCCAAGACCTACCCATCCCAACCCTTCCACATAACCCCAATGGGGTTTTTACCATGTCTAACCCACCCAACCTGCCCATCCTTGGACACTGTGGGGCAATATGTACCAGGGCCAATCCACCCTAACCTGCCCACCCCTGGGCACTATGGGGCAGTATTTACTATGGCCAATTCACCCCGACCTGCACATCCCTGGGCACTATGGAGCAGTATTTACAATGGCCAATCCACCCCAACCTGCACATCCCTGGGCACTATGGAGCAGTATTTACGATGGCCAATCCACCCCAACCTGCCCATCCCT